CCAGCCTCTTTTCCTCCTTTTCTGAGACATTCCAACTAAATGGGCAAAAAAGACCATCCAGCAGTAAATGCAGGGCAGGAGAAGCGAGGCTGGAAGATCAGTTCTGCTGCTGCTCGCACTCTGCAGTGGGTAGCCATGAAACTCTGGATTTTACAGTTCTGGCCTACAGTTCAGTTCAGTTTTATAGGACTGTGCCCTGGGAATTTTAAACTACAATATCCTGCATTTGGGCCCCACCCCTTTGGGCAGTGGCCCCACCCACATTCTGGGATGTAGCTCCTGGGGCCTCATGCAAAACAGAATTTGGCCCATGTGCTGAAAGGGATCCGCATCCCTGAACCAAGGGGATCAATAGCGATGCGTCCATTGCGAGAAGAGTCTCCTTTTTCCCGTCCTTCCCCGATCTAATCAGGATTGCACCTTTCCCCCACTTATTACAGGTATCAGCATCTTGCCCTGAATGCTACTTTTGTGTATTATCTTTCAGGGCATGTGTACCCTGCACGCAAAGAAATCAAGGACTTCTACCCCACAAAACTGCCTAGGTAGGGCTCAGTTGCACCGTCTGTGTAATGGCCACAATTTCACGTATTTCATATAATCTCCTGGTTTCGCTCATCAAGGCCAGGGGGTGGGGTGGGCAAGCAGCTAAAAAGTCATTGCGTGAAAACTTAGCCCCTGTCCCTGGAAAACATTGATCTGTAACTGTTCCACTTCCTGAGACTTCACCTGCAGTTGCCCAAATCATGTATCTTTCAATCCCTAAGAGCTAGAAATGTGTTTTAAGAATTAAAAATGTTAAAGTGAAGAGTTTCATAGTTCTGACGGGGGCAGCAATTGCTTTAGCAAGCAAAAATACCCTGGGGGAGGTAGCAGCTCCCTTGTTCCTTAGTATGGAAAAAGCACTCTGCACATGCTCTGGTATATGTTATCCTTATTATTAAGGCTGCTGCCTTTTCTCAATTAATTGGTTAGATTCATTTAAAAAACACTTTTAAATCCCCTAACAAGGCATCTTCAGTCACACACACACTATATCGATCTGTCTGTCTGTCTGTCTATCTATGGTCATTATTTTATAGGTTCTTATAAAAACTACAGACCACAGGATCTCTCTTGGGGAGGCATCTACTTTGCTGTCATCTGCTGCCATCTGCATTCTAAAAACAAAGGAAGCATAGGTATCAGCAAAGCTATGCAGATGTCATCAATTCATCTGCTGATGGCAGCCCTAATTATTCCCCAGGCCCTTGTGGTGAGCAAGCACCAGCTTTACCGGCCCTGACTTGCAGCCCCTCCAATGTAAGTCCCACCGAGTTCCTTCAGGAAAGAGCATATAGACAAGAAGGGTGTCTTTTTGGTTGGTCCCACCTATCTTTGCACCCCTCCCTGCAGGACTCTTCTTCCCAGGAGGACAGGACGTTCCGCCTTCCTCCCTCTGTCCCAGAGAGCTCGTCCCTTCCAGAGCTAGACAGATGTTGCCCTATGCAGAAGTCACGGCCTCAAAACCCAAAGGCTCTTCTTCCGCTGGCCAGGCCAGCTATGCGTGGTCAGGAAAATGTTACCCTGATGAGTGTTGTGAGAAATGCCCAGGGCCAATTCTCTTTCAAGTGTGACTTTTATTCTGGCTTAAATGTTAACTGAGAACACTTAAATAATGCAGGCAGGATGCTGTGCCCCCAGAGAAGGCTTGGCCGGCCCCAAGCGTCTCACAGGCCAGTTTTTGTGTCCCTGACTGGATCAGAAGAGACGCACAGCTGAAAGGGACCTGCAGGGCCCTTGAGTTCTGCCCGATTCTTTGCTTCCACATGTGGTCACCCATCCAGTTGCAGACCGGTGCCTTTGCAGCTTAGCAAAGGTGCCTCGACATGCTAGCCCCACGTATAGCTATGCAGGCATGTTAAAATGCTGGTGCCAATGATTCTCAAGATGTGACTGACGCTCACAATCTCAGCTTAAGAGCAGTTCTCACCCCTGATCCACACACTTCTTCCCACCAGCCCCCAAGCTTGGCTTTGTTAGCACTTAAATTGGTATCAAATACCATTCTGATCTGGGAGGAAATGTCGGCAAACCTTACAGAATTTGGGACAGTGTCCACCCATGGGTATTTTTAGCAGTGTAATCAAACCCGTACCCCTAATGCATGGTGCATGATTTGGAAAAAAAACCCACAGAGACGAGAAGGTGGCAAAGCTTTGCGCTGGATGCTTGTCGGAGGAAGTGTTAGGAGACGGTTCTCCAGGGCTGGGGCCTCACATCCTCTGTATGGGGCCCCAAATCTCTGGGAAGCCATCCCCCCCCAAAAAAACACACACACACAGACTGTGGTCCAGAGGCACTTGCTGAAGTTCTAGGGCCCCTCCGTTCCATCAGATGCTCCAATGAGCTGGCCTTTAATCTTTCAGGTGAGTGTTTTCCCTGTAAGCAAACTCCCTCCCCTGCCCAAACACCCCTTTCAGCAATTCAGGGTGCCCTTAGGAGACAGACTCCTTGAAAAATACAAGTACTCACAGACTTTAGAGTGCATATACATCAGCAAACGAAGATACAGTATATGCCCGTTTGCTTTGTTCTGCAGTCTCAGCACCTAGCACCACCCATGAGCAGGCCTTCTTTCAAGCAGGCTGCATCTTGGATTGTGTCCACAAGGTCATGGAATACCTCTGAGCATGTGCAGATGGACCTTTCTTCATTGCTGAGTCAGTACAACCAGTGCAAATGCCCCGGGACAGACAGACCTTCTGAAACACGAAGAAGCCAGAGCTGCTGGGAAGCTGCACCCACTCCTATTGCTTCCCAGGAGGAAAATGAGGTCTTATTTTTTAGGAAACGGTGTTTTATTTTTGTTTAAACAAAAGTTACTACATAACAATAAAAATGAAAGTTATTACAACATTAGCTCAATGAGAGCATCAGTATTTTAATGGCAGCCATCTCGGCTCAAGCAGTTACACAGGAAACTAAATTATAGTTTGATTACACTAGTACAATTAAATTTAAATCTAGAACTGCTATCCACATTTTAAACTAATATCCAAATACATGGGTTCCTACATATTTGTTCCTTTCGGTATGAAATGTTTGGCTTTCTACTGTGCTACAAGACAGGAAAATTGTCAGGATTACTTCAACAACAGTAATAATATTCTTGTAGCAACACTGTGAACTGCCCAGCTCGCTTCAGCTGTTGGGCAGCAGAGAAATCTAATGAATACATAAATACATACATAAATATTTACAGGACAAGAATAGGAAGGCTGCAGCTGTGTATACCCCCCCACCCCCCCGGGAGTAAGTGTCTACTGTGCGACTCAAAGGTTGAATCTGAATACACGTGTGCTCGACTTATCCGCAGCTTTTTTTCTTTTTCAAAGTGGGCAATGCCCTCTGCCTCACAAAAACGCCTTTCACACGTGCTTCTGCCTCCCAGGAAGAAAACCTGGGCCAGGAGCGACCAGCCTGGTCCCATCAGCAGCAAGTCAGAGGTCGGTGGAGCAAACGGCCAGAAATACATCTAGGAGCGCCTTCGCACGCACGCTTGGCCAGGAAAAAACTCTCGCAAGTCCCAGATCTTCCCAGCCAGAATCGCCAGGACGTTTTTCTGTCTAAATAGGAATAGGACTGGATCCTAACTAAATGCACAAATTCTCTGTAGAGTGACGCCTGGCATCTCGTATTTTAGAAATTCTCCCTTTCTTTTCGTCTCTTTCTTCTCTTTGCTTTGTGCACAAACCCCATCCGTTTTAACTTTGCCAAGTCTGACAGAGCAAGCCGTAGCTCGCTGCCCCGAGGAGCTTCTAAATGTCCGCTTGCCACGCTTCGCCCCGAGAGGACACCGGTTCAAGGAACGTCCCCGGTCCCTATTTTCCTCCACCATCTCCCCCAGCACCCCGCTCATCCTTTGCCCCGGGAGGGGAACTCCAGCAGTCCCCCCCGCAAAGCAATCCGGCTAGCCGGATCGCGCAGCGTCGCCTCCCAGAGCCCGTTTTGGGGGCGCAGCGCGCGGGGGTGAATCTTGGCGGCAGAGCAGCCCGAAAACAGCTGGATCGCGCGGGCTGGGGCGGGGGGCGGGTGAAGCAAAAAGGAAACCTTCCGGAAATCAAAGGATGGGTACAGAAACGACGCCCCCCCCCAAAAAAAGAAGGAAAGCACCCAAGAACCGCTGCGGTGCAACCCGCTGGGAGGGTTGCGTGATTGTTAAGATCGCCGCGCCCGGCCAGCTTGGAGATGCGGCTGCTCGCCGGACGCTCCTGGGCTGCGGGGCATTTTTTCCTGATTTCCTCGGAAAAAAACAGAAGGAAACGAAGCGGCGACACAGAGCGAGAGAGACGGGAGGGGGCCAACCGGACCAGCCCCCTCCCTCCCTCCCCCAGCTGCTCCCCACTCCGGGGTGTTCCTAATGGGCCTGCCTAAGCCCTCCCCCTCCTCCTCCGCCTCCTGATGGGACCGAACCCTTTATAATGTCGCCCCGTCCAAGGAAGCATCCTTTCCACAGAATCCTTGTCCCGCTTCGGCCGGAGGACTGGCGACTTGGGCTGGACTTCGTATTATTTAACTCGCAGAACATCCGCTCTTTGACCTGGTTCTCGCGCCCCTTCTGCCGAGCGCAGTGCGGAGCCGGGCCACCGATCCCCCCCGAAAGAAGGAGAGGATCCCGTCTGGGGCGGCCTTCCCGGGAACGCGACCCTCTGCTCGCCTCGCCTTCGTCTCTGGGCGCCCTTCCCGCCTCTCGGCTCGGCTCGTGATCCCCAAAGGCCCGTCTAGCTGGAATGAATATATCTGAGCCTAGTTTCTGCCGAGAGGAGATTCCCCAAGCCCGAGGCGACTTTTCATGGGGAGCCGTCGCGGCAGCAGCGCCACCGCCTCCCTCGACGCCCGCCGC